CATTGAATAAATTATTGTTTGATTTTTACTAAATACTGTATAGAATTTATTAATAGAAGTTTAATTAAATATTTGATTTTGTTATTGACAAACTTTGTCATTATTTAATTCGGTGCACGCTTAAAGTCCAGGCCTGGCACACTAACGCGAATCCGCGTAAAGTACCCGTTAGGGAACGGCTATTTTCCGGCACACAGTAGTGTCGATAATCGTTGGAAAGTCGGAAAAATAATATAGTACTTTACAAGTTATACTAAACCCTCTGATTATTTGGTATAATTTGTATTAAATTTTAAGTGCCACTATTAAGTGTTTCAAATCTTTTCTCTATAAAATTATCAATTATAATTTTGAAATTTCGATAAATTCAATCGGTGAATTTTATATACTTTATACCCGTTTCGTAACTTTCTGTAAATAACTAATTTCGCCTATTTGAGGATATGGTTTGTAGTTACAATAAAACTTCGATTTAACGGATATAACAGACAATTTTCTAGTCTATTTATTATATGTGAAAATTGACATTTTGTCAACTTTGAAATGTTTTTTTATATGTGATTCAGTTAACAATTAGTTTCTCTTCAAACCAAAGTGTCGTCACTCTTTACGCACCCCACCGCAAGACTGTCTCAACATATCATCATCGGAAAACGAATAAATGGAATAGTTTTTTGTCTAATTAATATTTTGTTTTTAAGAACATTGTTTACTTTAATACAATTGAAGAGCTTATTGCAAAATGTAAAACTTTGTGATTATGTGATATTTCCTTCAAATTAATTACACTTCTCAAACCTACTTAATTTCAATTTCAAATGTATCTACGTAAGTGGAAACAAACACTAACTAGGTTATCCCGTTAAATCGAGGTTTAACTCTACAGCTCTCCCTTGATAGTCCGACGTTTTTTAATCCGACATGCTCAGTAGTCCGACGCACCTCCCATCAAGGTACCAGTCCCCGTTACGTGTCTGCTTGCACAGAAGCATGTCGCGACGTGAATCTCCCCATCCAATTCTTACACGATGACACACATTTCGTGTCTTTTCTGTGAGCAGTTCTGTTCGAACAGTTGGAGTAGGGAATATTGTAAGCTACTGCTAGCAAAACAATGCAAAATATGTAATTATTTTCGGTAATCCGGACACTTTTGGTAATCCAACACCCCTTTGGTCCCATATCTGTCGGACTATTAAGGGAAAGCTGTATTTCTACCTTATGTATGAATTTCTTGATTTTAAGATAATTTGTTGTAAGTAATAATGTAAAAGATCTTTTTAATTGCATTTGTAAATTTCTGTTATTTTTATTATAGAGTTCTTATAAGTAGTTTGCTGTAATTCTGTATCTAATAATACGAAATAAAATGATGCATAAAAACCAGTTTTTGTTCTTAAACATATTACATAGTATTGAAAACAGTTTCTATGTACAGCATATGATTATCGAAGGCCGGTTGGTTTATGAGGATAAAAACTCAGATTAAGGGGACTTCAGATTGAACCGTAATAAGCAACTTTACAGGAATTTTGTATGGGATGTTGCCTCAGAAAACTCAGGCATATTCTTAAATACGAAAAAGAAAAATAATTTTGCAATTTATATTTTATAAGAACCTATAATTTACATAAGTGTTGTGCTAATAAAAAGTATTAATCGGTGGTAATTTTTCAAAGAATTTCAGTTTAAGCTCCGCACTTCTAGGCTCCGCACTTTATATTAGAACTAAAGTGTGTTTTGGTTTGAAATTACTTGTCAACTGCGAAATGATATCACCTTACGTGATATCATTTTGCAAACATTTGACTGAAATACAACAAATCATCAATGAACAAGAAAAAAATCACATTTTATTTAAATATCATCATAAAAATTAATTTATAAACTACAATAAAACATTTATTACCGACAATATATGTCATAAATACAAATGATTTATTGTCAGTATTATTATACATAGGGAAATTTTCAAAGAAATTAGAAGTGATAAATGGTGATAAAAGTGATTAGGTTTCTATTTTTTTTACTAAATTGTGTTTGCAATTGTCTATAGAGTTTTTAAAAAAGCATATTATGTATCTACGTTCTCAATGATTATTTATTCTTTTTGATTAGCATTCTAAATTTAAACGAAGGTTTAATATAGTACAATTTAGCTTTCTAAACGCTTTTAACACGATAGATAGTATCTGTAAACATTTTTTTGGCATTATATCTACGAGGGTTATTTTTAAAATAAGGACCGTTTTTTAATAAGAAAAAAAATACTGTAAATATCATTGAACAGAAACGTACTCAGTAAAACAGAACTAATCAAGTAACTAAACACCTTAATCGTTGTCGAGGGAATTTTATTAAAAACGAACGTTTTTGATCTATTCAATAGATCATCTTCAGGTTAGAACATACGAATATAAAACATATCTTAAAATGGAACATCTACATTCAAAACCTTGAATGTGATGTTACATTTTAAGATAGATTGCTGTATAGCGGGTGGATTTGGCAACGGTTGTCGTTTGGCATCTTTGTTCTGTGTTAAAAGTCCAATATCTTTTGAAGCTCGGTGGCAAGATTTAGCCAGGCGGTTAACATTGTTTTCGTCTGCAGGAGTTTCTAGTTCATAGAATAAATCTTGAAAATGGCTAATTTGGCTCCAGCAACCAAGGTTGTCGATGATAGCTTTTTATTAAGTATTTTAAATTTCTTTTTGCCTCATTTCAGCTTTGTGTTTTAGAAGGTCTTCAAAGCTGATTTCTGTTTCATAGCATGAATTTCGTCATTTCACTATTATGTTTGTGTATAAAAAATCGTTTTGAAGGCTATGTTTATGTATTTTCGATGCTACTTTATGTAACTCGTCTGTAATCTCACTCCAAATGCCGAATACTCACTTGTTAACGTGTATTTGAGATTTGCTGAACTTTCCTGTCATTTTATTGTTCCGACGCTTGAGTTTTCACTAATTCATTTGCTCAGTACTTGTTTTCAGAACGCGACATAATTCAGAATGGTTATTTTCGTCTCTAAAATAAGCAACTGATTAAATTGCTTAGTTGGAATTGCTATAAAATAAGCAATTATGTCTGAGAGCAATGCTATCACACGGAATTATTTAGGCATCACTTATTAATTTCAGTTTACAATTTCGATCATACAGTAGTGGATTTCAGTTGAACGTCATCGACGATATACGATAAAGTGCGTGGAGGAATCGCATTTAAAAACTTTTTTGATAATGGCTAAAGTGTGGACTTCAGCATAATCTAATATCAGACAGCCATCATCATTTTGTTTTAGAAAGTGTTTTTAAGATTGTATATAAATAAACGGGTTTATTCGTAACTGCAGCTGTCTACCTCGCATACATTGATCCCACATCCGATAAATCTGCAGTTTTGGTTATATCCAATTCGGCGACTTCACAGATATTAAGAAAATCCCATTAAGAAATAATACAGTATGATGACGAATCGATAAAATGTCCGAGTTTCCTACTGATTTTTGAAGACTATCGAGGTTTGTTTATAGCTCGATGAATCTACTTTACCAAACAATGAGTCTTTACTTCTTGAGCACGTTCGCTTCATGAAATATGAAAAAGTTGTTAAGAACTATTATTTCCCAAAAGATAAGAAACGGATGCTATAGGTAAATCTATATTTGACGTATTGAAACACTATTTTAAAGAAAAAGTATTCCTCGGGATAATATCGTTCCCGTTGGCACCTATGATGCTCCGGCAATGGTTGGACAATACTGCGGGTTCATTTAATATTTGAAAATGGCGATACCAAATGTAGTCGCCGTGCATTGTGTAAATCACAGACAACATTTGGTTGCAAAACTTTAATAATGCCTTCATTGCTCACTGTAGTGTGTAATTAAAGCAGTTATCAAAATCAGAAGTAATACTCTCAATGATAGATTGTTTCGAAAACATTGTGATGAAAACGACGAAGTTTTCAATCGTTTACTATTGCATACTGAAGTTCGTTGGTTATCAGAGGGAACCGATCTACAAAGATTTAGTGACTTATTTGACTCAGTTACAATATTTCTTGAAGAAAGATAATTCGTTACAATAGAATTTATTGAATTTTAAGAACGATTTAGGTTATTTAACTGATTTCTATAATAAATTTAATGAAACAAATCTACAGCTGCAAGGAAATAATTTGAATTTGATCAAAGCAAAGGCAACAATTTCTGTGTTCGTGACAAAACTTGCCTTGTACAAATAAAATTTGTGATAAAGAAAAGTGTATTAGTTTCCAAATCTTCCTGTTCAAACAAATTATGAGGACATTCTGATATTTAATTTATTGACATTCTGTCAGTTTGATGTTCAATTTATTGACATTTTGATATTTTACCAGCATTTGTAAGCACTTAAACTAGATTTTACAAATAGATTTCAGGAAGTCCTTAACATGACCGAATTCCTTAAAGCAATAATTACTTGAATGTTTGATAAATTTTCCTTAAAAATCACAATCTGTTACATTTCATTATGATTTTTAATACGATTGTTTGTCAGAATATTCTACAAATTTCAAATTTCAAATCATGTTAATTAAATGTTACATTTTGAAGAAACCATTTCGTTTACTTCTAAAGAAACAAAGTTTTGAATTTGAATCAGGTGAAGGAACCTTTTTAAGAATTAAAGTATTCAATCTTGGTTATTCAATGTTTATGAATTGTTTTGAAGTAGATGGTTTCTCCGAATCCGAAGTATTCTTTAGGTCTGTCTCCAATCTCCTTCTACTCATCTGCAGAAGAATTTCGGCAGCGCTTAATACATCTTTATCAGCTGTTCCTTCACCGGCCAATGTTTCACTAGAAGTCTGCAAATTTGATGAAAATATTTAATAAAACATTTCAGTTCAAATATAAGTAAAAATTTTTTAAAAATTCAGAAAAATTTTTTAAATTCTTCTTGGACTAACTGTACAACTTTGTTCCTCTTTGTTGTCCCTTCGAACGCCTATAGAAAAAGAAACAGAAATATTTTCCGCCTGTGAAATTGTTATTCCTGTAGACGTTCGAAGGGTCATCAAGGAAAAGGACACTTATACAGTTAGTTCAAGAAGTATTACGAGAATTTTTTTTTTGTGAAATTTTTAAGAATGCTGCAAATTTGATTTTACCCTTACTTCATCTGAGGAATCAACGCTCTTCGATACATCTACTTCTGTACGTTGCTTCAAAAATAAAAGTATTGTTATATAACACAATTTCATATTAAATCAATTTATAGTACTTTATACATTCTATAGTAATAATTCTATAGTAATTTTAAATTCACTATAGTAAATTCTATAGAAATAATAAAAGTCAAACATTTTACAAATTTATCGGCCATTGGTTAGGTTTATCATAAATCTGGGCTATACAGGGTGTAACAAAATATTGATAGATGGTCACAACTGTAAGCGGTGATAGATCTTTCCAAAACAAGCAACTTTCACCATTCAATATGGGGTCGGAAAGCAAATGCCGTGTCGGTTCTCCGTAAATGTTTGGGCAGGGATTATCCATGATCACTTAATTGGCCCACATCTTTTACCAGACCGCCTAGATGGACAGAAGATTCTTACTTTCCTTCACCTGTTTGATTTACTACAATGTGTACAAGCAAATGTTCAAACGATTATGTGGCTCCAGCTAGACGGAGGGCCAACGCATTTCTTTAGGAATGTGCGAAAATACCTGGATATTTTCTTTCCAAACAGATGGATTGGCCGCGGTGGGCCTGTCACTTGGCCTCTCAGATCTTCCGATCTGTATTATTTGTCTTGTAAAGTATTTAATAATAAAGATTATTTGTCTTTTCTTATTTGTCCATATTATATTTTCCATTTTCACCAAGCATACACCCTCTCGCGGCTTGCCGTTAGCTTTTACACCACATTGCATGGTAAAAGTTGTTTGTTTTCACAACGTCTATTACCGCTTACAGTTGTGACTATTAGGTTTGTTACATCCTGTATGAAAAAGAAATATCAATTTACATAATAGGCGACATTTATGATAAAAAATTGACACACTGCTCAATCAATCTGCAATTTCGAAAACTACTCGGCTTATGCAGCCTACATGTAATGTCTACCTTCACCTAATCCAAGTTTTCATTCAATTCTTTCAAAAATATAGATAAACTAGGCAACCGCCACGTGCACCAGTCGTTAAAGGATGCAAAATTTCATGATATACGTTATTAAAACTTCATTAAAACATTAAATTAAATACTGGTATGTAATTTCGGAATTCATTCTTTCTGTTTATTTTTCACAAATCACAATATTTTACTATGTAACTCTTGGTTCATTTTTGTTTTTATCCTAAATCATTTCAATTTACTGCTATTTAAAAGTTATCCAAAATGAATATATTAAAACGTTAAACATTTTAAAGTATTAAATTTTAGTAGGCTATTTATAACTTTTTTGTAAATGAATTATAATAGAGAATTTTCAAACTAATTAAAAAACGTACTGTTTTTAGAAGAATTGAACATTTTATTTTATTTTGTATGTTAATAATAAAGTACACCAAAATAATTTATATTTTTATCTCTTGAATTTCATTTTTTAAATACCGGGTTGTGAAATAAGGAGCGCACTTGTAAACTTCGCTTAGAACGCAAAATCATGTGGCACCCGACACTGCCCATTGATTATTTTTTTATTAGTATATATTCATGTTACTGTATTTATTTATTCATTTTCGTTTTTCTAGTTTTACTTTACACTATTAATTACCATTAGTTATATTACAGGTAATTCTATTTTAAGCGTGTTGTTTTATGCGTATGTAAAATATAAAATGGTATTAAATTTGTTGTTTAATTTATTATGCAGTTTTACAATAAAATAAACAGTGACGAGAGGCATATGACCCGAAATGCATTTTTTTTTTATAATACATATAAAATAAAATGTATATTTCCATCTACAAACTGTTTTTTACGGTAATCTCCATAGCAATTTTGTGCTTAATTCCAATGAACAAGGAACAAACGAGAGAACAATAAGCAATCAAGTACTAATGTTCTAAAAATTTCAGTAATTAAACGGAAATTGTTTCTGTAAAATTTACTTTGCGATTTAAGAAAAAATATGGCCAATGAAAATAGTAAATTAAAATCATTAAATATAACATTAATAATTAGAAATTAAACATTTTCTGCATCTTATATCGTGTTATTTTGTAAATACCGTATAATAAAGGTACACAAAAACTGATGGTTGATAGTTATCCAACGACACAAAGTACAAACTTAAGTTTTGTTTTGTGTTAATACTTGACTTTACATAAATAATGCTATGTTATTCAATGAATGAAGGTTACACAATAAAATTATTTACAGTAATCATGTAATAGAGTCACATAAAAAAATCTGATAAGAAATTTAAAAATTTTTTACAAGCTACATAAATATTCTTACATTATAATATTCAAGTAATTTTTTAAAGAGTAATTTCAAAAAAAATTCTATACGTACTTTGGAAAAAGATTCTGTTTGTTCCAGTGGATGTACTTTCTTCATGTGTGTATTTAAATCAAATTTATATTTGAAAGTTTTCCTACAAATATCACACGAAAACGGTCGATTTTTGTCATGAGATGTCAGGTGTATTGTTAAAGCGGATAACCACCGAAAACTTTTATTGCATAGATTACATTTATGATCTTTTTTCGATTTTTTTGGTGGAATCTAAGTATCATATGATTTATGTTACGTTATTTATTTATTACACATTAAAAAGAGAATTAAATAATCAATATTTAAAATTATGAAAATAAATTTTAATATATGTTGTAAATTTATGTTATTTTATCTATATTTTCTACACTTATTGAAACAGAAATTATTTGAGAATTAATAATAACGATTTCTACGTATGAGATGTAACAAATATATTTTTTAATATTTCACTGTTAATTTCCAGTTTTATTTATAATAATTATATGTATGCCTATTATATAATCTATTATATTATTATATTTTGTATTTTAATTCAATAAATGTATATATTTTATTTCATAAATATTTTTCGTATTAATATAAAAAAATAAACATAAACGTAATTCTTACAATCATTATTTCAGAAGCGTTTGCATGTGGATGCAATCGATTGATATGTTTTATCAAATTATGTTTCGTTTTTGTCGCGTGTCCGCAGTCTTTGTAGGCGCATTTGAATGGACGTTCTTCCGAATGTGATTTTTTGTGATTTATTAAATTTCCAGCCTGGGCGAATCCTTTTCCGCAAATATCGCATACAAAAGGTTTCTCACGAGTATGAACCCTCATGTGATTTTCCAAGTGGTATTTCCTTAAAAATTTTTTTTTACATATAGTGCATTCATGTTGTCTCTTTTTCTCCTTTGAAATAATATACCTTATGTAAATTATTAATTTTGTCATTAATATTTTCAGAAAAATTTTGTAATACAGTTTTGAGATATGACTTAAAATTTTCATTTTTTAGATTTTCAAATAAATGAAGTCGTTAATTATCTCTTACGAAACAAATTGTACGTTTTACTTACCTTTTCTGATTTCATTTTAAAACCTAATAATTCAAACTAAAAATTTAATTTATAAATTTTAAAAAACATAAGAAATTAATAATGCACTACAACAATGTAAAATTTTTCTATTGTTCTGTCAGATTGACATATTGGGCTTATTTGTTAGCTTAAAAATGCAAAAAAAAAACCAGCTTTAATTATTCGTTTTTAATTTAAAATTTGTACCGAAAGAAAATATATTAATGGCTTCGTTCCGAATTAATTTTGTAAATTATTTTCTACAACATAATAATAATAATAATATTTATTTGTGGTAAAAGGCTTTCGCCTGTCACAAGGGCGTTTTATTTAAAAAAAAACGCGTATTAATTTAACATGTCATATATTCTCGTCTTATCAACAATAATATATTCTATTTTCTGATATATAATATACATTAATATTTTTTCACAAATTATTATTTAATAAATTGTTTAACTTGGTTATATAACATATAAATCGTGTTAGTATTAGCTTTGTCAAAAGTCTTAAACATTTCCATCTCACTATTGCAGTTAGTCAGCGGTCCCATCTGGAGCCTTTGTAGTTTATCTTTTTCATTACAGCATTCACGTATAATATAAACTCTAGATAAAATTTTGGTAAAATTTGGATATATAGTTTGGGTATAGTCTATATATTTATCATTTATAATTAATCCATTTTTATTTAGCTTAATCTGTATTAAAAACTTTTTGATGTTGAAAGCTAGATTTGTCAATATATAATTATTATTTTCTGGGTAATTTAAAATTGTTGCATACCAGCTTGTTTTTCCCGTTTTCGTATGTCTTAAATGTCTTGAACGATGGAGAGCTCCATAGCTCTGTATATTATTTCTTTACTATACTGCTCCATATTATGTGTACGATCTAAAAACAATTTAATAGAGAATCCGTATTTATTTACTATCTTCGATTGCTGTATTATCCAACTTCGTCTTAAATCCGTTTCCCTTGATTTGTGATATAGTAAAAACAGTAATTTTGTTTTTACTATATCACAAATCATGTGCTTTTTGAATACATTACTACCATTTCTGAATATCATTACTGTTGATTTTTTTGGATTTATTTTAACTCTTAATTTTTCTAAGTACTCACAAATTTGTTGGATCTTTCTACGGAGCACAGCTGCCGTAGGAGCTACCAATGTCATCGGCATATGATATGGTATGTATTGTCTGATTTTCGATTTGAATACCATCTTCGTCTCTTTGAAAACAAGTATTTAGGTCATATAGATAATAATTGAAAAGATATGAGGAAAACGGATCTCCTTGTAATAGTCCTCTGTAGGTAATAAACGGTGTCCAGATCTTTGTATCTTGTTTCATGATTGTCTTATATTTTCCAAACAGCAATCCTATCATTTTTATCAAAGGTTCATTTGCTCCACATTTCTTCATCTTACTTTGTAGGTCTGTAATGCTAATCATATCGTATGCTTTTTCAAGGTCCAAAAAAAGGGCAAACACTTTATGTCTTTTCTTAAGCAACTGTATTTGAATTATTGTTAACAACACAAAGAGAGCTGTCTGAGTACCACCTCCTTCCACAAATGCAAATTGCGTATCATTTCTATAATTATTAACAGCTGTCCAATGATTAAATTTACTAGCTAATACTGCAGTGAATACTTTCCGTAGACAAGACAGAAGAGCTATTGGTCT